CTTTCGGATGAGTCATCCATACAAATATTTCTTGCTAAATCAGGTCCAACATTAATAAAAAATCTATTAAACTTATTTACTACATCCTCCATTCTATTAACATGTATCTCATTATCCACAAAATAATGAGGGTAATTGTCCTTACTGTGACTGTTTCTAATCAAACTGTTTAATATTTTCCAAATACCTCTCATATTATTTTTATTATCTTCTAATAATTTAGTGTAATATTGTTTCTTACATCTCCTCATTATCTCAGTTAATCTATTCTTATATGTCTTATATTTTTCTTCCACCATATTTGATTTATTTTTTATAAATCCTCTATATAACGCATTCTTCTTTTTACATGCATTCTGTAGTCCCTTACTCATCCACGGTTTCTCACTGTAATTCCTAGTGGTCTTATACTGCTTTCTAGGACAGTTCTTATCATATAATGACTTAAATATATATAAAAATTGCTCATATGCCTTGTCCAAATCTCCTTCCCTGTAAACCGATTCCCAGTCCTGAGCCATAAAGTCCTCTTTTAACTTCCTTATAGCATCTTCATTAATCACCCTCTTATAAATAAACTTTGTTTTTGGCCTTTCTTTTCTATACTGGCAATCGTAAACCAAAAATACTGGTAAATGATCACTAATATCATTTATAAATTGAAACAGGAAACTTCCACTGTTTTCTGATGTTGAATAGACAAAACAATCGATTAATTAAGGAAATAATCACTACTTAAACAGAATAACGCTGGCCTCCCTAAAACAGCCACTGCTTAGAAGCCCCTTGAGAAAGACAGCTTCTGCTAAAAAGCTTTGAGCTGTCAAAGTATGTTATCAATTCACAACTTGTTGCATGTCCATGTGAGTTTTTGAGGAAACATGCATCTGTCAGTTTTAGGGCTTTTACTTTGAAGTACAAACATTTACCTGGTTTCTCTCACCAGGTTCAGGACGTGGAGCCGCAGGTGAACACAGAAAAAGGCAAGGACTGTTCCAAAGAGCAGGAGCCGTGGATCGGGGTGGTTCCTGTTGAGATGGATGACAGCAAAGCCTCCACTGGAAACCAGGAGTCTTTTGCCGATGCTATGGTCAGTAAGGTGAGTGGGATAACAAAGTCTGTCGTGGTCATGCTGCCATCAAGGAGTTGTATTGTTAGGAAATGTTGTTGTTTCTTCTGGTGTTTTACTGTCTGCTGTACTGCCTCACCTCAAAGCTGGAATGGCCATTCTCAGTCCGCTGTCTGAATTTACAGGCTGGCCCACGATTATACCAGCCTTAGCTTGATCTGTATGAACATCAACCTAATCTGTCCTCCTCCCTGTGCTCGTTGATTTTGATTTGTTGGTTGTGAAAGAACAATATTTTAATTTTGCATCATTTGTAATATTTTGTATGAGCATTGTAAAATAATTTTCATTATCTGAAGTGAAAAAGCTACACAGTGAACACTGGTCTGGCTTGGTTTTAGATAAAAACAAAACGGAGTGGGATTGTGATCCAGCTGAACAGGCTTCATGTGTACTTTCAGGAAGCCACTTTTCTGAGGCAGAAACTGTGAGCATCAGTTTTGATGTGGTGTGTGATCGATATCGAAACAGACTGTTCTTCCTGGGGTCACACACACAGCTCAGAATCACATCCCAACACACTGTGATCTTTATTTCCAGTAACACTGTATTTGTTAAGTGCCTGAACTGTAATATTCTTTTATGTCTGCTCAAGATGAAGCGAGCCTTGTTCCTCGGAGCATCGGCGCTGATCATTCTGGCTCTCAACCAAAACACCGTCAGTGAGGTAAAGTCAGAAACCTAAGTGAAGAGCATGCAGTGACAGGTTGTTTCTCCAATTATTTCTCCATCTTGTGTTTTGCTGTGTGATGTGGGTGTTCCTGCATGATATATGTGTGTGTGTGCACCAGTTGGTGTATTAGCAGTGCTGATGCAAGTCATTCCATCAAGATGTAGATAATTTATACTCTTCATGATAAAGGATTTTGCTTATAGAATAATAGTTAGATTTTTAAACTTCCATTCAGAGAAAAACTGCCCGCACACTGTCAAAGCAGAAAAAAGGCTTTACACGTGAATAAATAAATACATTTATTTCATGTGGGAAAAGTGATATGGTGAATAAAAGGAAGTGTTTCAGTCAGATTACCATCCACACCACTTGCAGACTATGTCATTCTAGAACCACAAGTGTTGCATACATGAACAGAGTCGGCGTTAATCTTGTGCTCTCTGTGCAGACTGTGTGACCACACCTAGCTGGTTGTTGAGTTGATGTGGAACACCTTGTGGTCCGAGCTCCTCCTCTCCTGATTGGTCTGTGCTGTTAGTCTGATTGCCTATTTGTGTTTCTTGAGTTACAGGCTTTGTACATTTGCTCTGACTGGAACTTTCACTTTATTCATATGGTTTTACTTGGAATACGTTTACTGTTTTGGCTCTGTAGAGCCTCTTTACTCCTTGGTCAGTGTGCAGGACTGTGGTTTCTGGCCGTACACACCTGGCATCTTTTGAAAAGAGTAAGTTTAAGAGTTCACACTCAGAAGAAGCTTTTGAATCTGTTCATGCTTATAGGCTAAACATCTGGCTCTGCTGTTGCAGATGGATCTCTCTCAGGTGCTGTCCAAGCCCATCATTGTGATCCAGACCTCTGAAAATGTCACCAAGCTGATTGGAGCTTTGCTCAGGTACACAACATCTTATGATCAGAGATACTGCTAACATGGAAACAGCTCTACTGGCAGATGCACCTTTCTCTGAAATCACTGTTAAAGATCAACAAAATGCAGTTTTTTAAATGAATGAGAGGAGTTACTGTATATACTGTCACATCTTTGATGTGCTTATTATGTTTGAATGGCCATGATGCTGTTGGCAGAAATCATACAGTGCTTTGAAATGCACCAGGTTAAAGCATTTTAACTTGTGTACCTACTTAGTCTCATTTACTTATTCTTACATATTTCTGTTCTTATATTATAATTTAATGTGGTTTTATGTTTAATCACCAACAGTGTTCCAACTTTCTGTTATCACTGATTTAATCACTGATGTGTTTGAGAAGTTTGCTTAATTTTTTTATATAAAATATTTGGAAGAAATCTAAGTACATTATTTGAAACAGTACTGCATATAGCCAAGAAAATACAGGTGTTAGTACACCAGCATATTCTTAGTCTAATTAAGATCGGAGTAATCATTATATGATTAATCTGGATTTTAAATTCTTTGACTGAATTGTTTGTGCCTTTGTTTTGCCCATGGGCCAAAAAGTAATAGGGCCACAAGTTTACAACAGATAACTTTGCTGATCTGCTGTAAATGTAGTGATGGAGGGTTTTCGTCTGCACTAAATGCCCGTTGATCTCTTTACAGGGGCCTTCAGGTGACAGCAAGAATCACTTATAAGACAATCCTGCAGGACAACCTGGTGAGCTCCATAGCTGTCACAGACAGTTGTTAACACCGTCCAGTGGTGAGTGCACAGATGACAGGCTGCTGATGATGCTGCTGCTGTGTGTTGGGGCAGGGAGCCACGCTCACGCTGTGGTCCAGCTGCGGTCGATCGAGAGGAGGGCGCTATGGGGAGTGGCAGGGGGTCATCTGTACGGGAGAGACCAACTCTCAGGTCCAGGTAGGGGAGCAGAGTGAGCATCAGCTTTGTTGGTGTGCTTTGTTAAATTTGCTGTAGCACTTAAGGTGCTCCACAGATGTGTTTCCAGGTGTTTGGGTCTGAAGACTATAGGTCTGAACACCAACCAACCAACCAAAGAAATAAATACTTAAAATAATTTTAAAAAAATCTGTGGATGTGGAAACAAGAGCTTTGAAGATCTGTGCAGCCCTCAGCTCAGCTTAGCAGTATACGCCTGAATTTTGAATCAGACTATCAACAGCAATGTTGCATTGTGGTAATGTAGGCATCAGCTTTTGACAAGAAAGAAGACTGTATCAAATAGAAAATACAAGATCTTTAGTTCTACTGCATCAATTTTTACTGCCTGTCATGAGCCTGGCAGCAGAATTAAACTGACACAGGGAGTGATTGTTTTGTTTTATTTAAACATTGCATAATACAAGAACATAAGCACTGAGAAACAACTTCAAGGCACATGTATATATGAACACAAAAGAAGAGCGTTACAGAATACACAACCTAATGACTGAAATGGAATAGACTAACTTAAAAATGTAAAAGTAAATAATTAAAAAGAATGTGAGCTTAAGTTGTGTCCAATTCAGAATGGCTTTTCATACATTCTAGTGAAGTAAGAAAATGTCTCCAATTCTTTTTTTTAAAGTCTCTGACTAGAAGTGTTGCTTTTATATATTAGGCTTTATGACCAAAGATGTTTCCGTAGTAATACTGAGGTGTTGAACACAGTTACTGTGCTGTACATTAGCTGCAGCTTCAACAAAACCATCACAATATTTAGGGCTTTTATTTTTCACACAACTCTGCTGAATGTTTTCTGAGGGTTTAACCACAGCGCCCAGTCTTCACCAGTGGGTGGAGTTTTCATGAGAACATGTCAACTGTGAGATGTGGCTAAAGGATCCAGATCAACAGGCCTTGAGTCAGGTTATTTTGTTTTCAAGGTCAACTTCTGTTTTGTTCAAGGTTCAAAGTGTTTATTTGTCATATGCACAGTTAGGAAACGTGTTTCCCTGTACAATGAAATTCTTACTTTGCCGTCCACAAGAATGCCATAAAATAGATAAATAAGTAACACAAAATCTAAGGCACTTTAAGCTTTTGTTTTATCAGTTTCATATTATTATGGTAGAAATCATCATATTTAGGAAAAGCAGTGATCTATAAATCATTTAATATTTGCACTCCATATGTAGTTTTTTCTTTTTTTTTTTTTTTTTTTTTTTTTTTTAATGTTAAATTGAAGCTGAAGTCTGGTGTATAATCAGCGGCTAACCTGCATTTTTGCCTCTATTACCTGAAGTGTTTTCTGTGTTGTACTACAGTATTATTTTTGTTTGTAGAAGTACCTACAGCAGCTGTGGGACACCGTCCTCTTGGTGGCTTTGATCCTCAGCACAGGAGTCATCGTCCAGGCTCGCTGGCAGAACCAGGGCCGCCAGCTCAACGACGACTTGGAGGTAAAATCTGATATAATCACAGGTTCTTCTTTGGTTTTGGTCTGGACACTAATATCTTTGGCATTCTGGAACTGCAGTCTCTGTTTTCCTTGCCAACATTTATGCCAGTAATCTTAGTGGAGAGTAACTCCCATTCCCACATTCCCTCAATTACAGTTTTGAGTTACTTGAACTTAGCTTGAGTAATTCTGTTTTCTGCTGCCTTCCACTCAATTTTATTTGCTAACTTTAGGTAGTATTTACTTTGCTGCTTCAGTCATATAATCAGAGAGCACTCATTAAGCTTCACACATGACAATAACATGTTCTGCTGTCTTCAGCTTCTTCCTAAACAGGATGTTCTGAAGAGAATGTCATCCCTGAAGACCAAAAGGTATCGTCGGCCCAAACCCTGGTGTGACCCGTCGCAGCCGGTAGAGACGGACAACTGTGCCGTGTGTCTGGAGCCGTTTAACAACAACCAGGTCAGCTAATACGCCCTGATTTGGCCACCAGTACTTTAACATACACATATGTTACAGATGCATGTAAAAGACTGTGCAGGACAGCTGATTCTGCAGTGATTTGTTTTGTTTTTTTAATATTACTTGGACCTGTTAGCTGTCCAATTAGGAACAGCAACTCTTCCTGATGTCAAGATATAGCTGAAGTTTTATTCGGTGAAATTACTTACGCTCACTTCCGTCCTGGTGCGTGCACACAGTTTGTCGTGAATCTACAGTTTTACGCATCTGGCCCCAGATATGCCAGAACCAGCTTTAATGTGTTTTGAGATGATCATGAGTGACAGATATTTACCAATTTTAGATATCATTTAGTCAACCTGGGTAGACCTGACCTTTTCTTATCAGTAGTAATACCCTGAAAAGTTATTTTATATACATAATGTAAATGCAAATGATACATGATATGATCTAAACTAGTTTGTTGTCCCAGTGTCTGCGGGTGCTGCCGTGTCTCCACGAGTACCACAGAGATTGTGTTGACCCCTGGCTGCTCCTGCAACACACCTGTCCTCTGTGCAAGCGCAGCATCCTCAGTGAGTTCACCGCATCACGCACACCTACACAAATGTTGACTCATCGTGCTTGACTGATACAAGTTTGCAGCGTCAGTACTTTGGTGTTGAAGATACTGCTCATTTTTACTTTTATGTACTGGTAGAAGTATTCACCTCATTTAAATAAGTAAATGTAGTAATATAAAAATACTCCACTGCAAGTAAAAGTACAGAATCATGCATCATGGCCCCAGTCAGTGTTTTATTATGACTGGATCCTTAATGTGATAACCTGATATCTCCATTGGTGGAGGTGAAGTAGGTTTTAACAATTTCACACACTTTGGTGGCTTAATCTATAATAAGACATATGTTGTAAAGTAACTGTTTGTCTTAATGTGACACATTTTGAGTGAAAATACAATATTTCTCTGAAGTGGAGCAGAAGTACAGAATAGCAGAAAATGTAGTTATTGAAGTACAGGCACCTCAAAATTGTGTACTTGCATGAATATAGCTATTTACTTAGCATTACCATTTTCCTGCAGGAAACCATAATATCACCTCAAAATAGCTTTAAGGGGGGAACCTCAATTATAGTGGCATTTTTTTATCTGGTCAAACAAAACCAACAATGGTTTTAGATTCTTAATTAAATAAAAATAATCAAAGCAACAATCCTCGTTAATAGTGACAAACCCTCATTGTCCAAATAGTACCTTTTGTTTAAAAATGTTTAACAAGTATCAGTTATGGATTTGCAGTGATTGAGAAGGTAATAGTAAATTTTACTGGCATTAGTCTTAATGTTCAGCTTTTTTATTTTTATTTTAACTGAAGCTGCAGCCGTTAAGGTTCGTTTCATTATCAATAGTTCTCTTATTGCTGTTTGATATTTCCATATCTTACAAGACTACGTACATCTGTGATGCTGGTACCATCAATTTCTTGGTGTTTTAACTCCATTCTTTCTCTTATTTCCTGTCTGCCTCTGTACTATCAGCTTTCTGGCAAAGGCAGAAATACCAAAAGAATTGTCACTGTTATTGCTGATTCTCTTTTTTTCTTCTCTAGGCAGCGTCTGCAAAGACAGCTAACGGTTGCCTCACCTCCACAGCTCTGGGAATCAACGCTCGTCCTCAGTGACACTCAAGTAGCAATTTTATATTTTTACGGACCTCACCGCTTCCTCCTTCCAGCAATGGATTGTGGGAGCAAACACAAACTTCTGACAGCAGCTGACCAGCCCCCTGAACTGCAGAGCAGTCAGATTTTGACCACTGACCTTCAGCTGGGTCTAAGACAAAGTGGTAGTATAAACAATACTAGAAAGTACTGTACCAGTACTGTTGTGTGTGTGTGTGTGAACAGTACTCCTTCCTGGAATCATGTTATTTGTTCAGTTATGGAAACATTTGTTTGCATGTGTGATCACAGGAGTGAAGATGTGACTCTTCACACAGTCTCCTTCTGCTGTTTCTCTGCAAACCTTTGGCTTTTATTTGGTAAATGCTGAAAAGTCCCAAGTCCTTTCTGGTTCACTTTAGGTCCAGATGTTGTCAAGACCCAACTTTTCATTTGTATAACTGCAAGTTTAAATGTGTCTGACTTGAATCTAGGTTCCAGACTCATGCCCTGCAGTTAATTGTTAACTGTAGAGCAGAGTGTAAGGATCCCCAGCCACAAACCCCCTTCCTGAATTTTACTTAAAAACTCAAGTTGTATATGTTACAGTAGGACCGTTTTGTTTGTTAGTGATATTAAACAGGTATTTTAGTTGTCTGTGGCTTCAGTTCAGCTGAATTTACCGCTTTTTAATTTTCATCTGCTTCTTTCTATTGAGAAGGTCTGTGTGAAGAAGTCGATCTGTTCTGCTCTAAGCGTTTGACATACTTAGACCAGAACTGTCCCAACAAGAGGCCCTCCCACACGCCATGTGAAAAACCTGTCCTCTGCTCCTGACGCACAGTTCCACGGGTAATCCTAAAAGTCCAATTTCACTTTTGTACTTGAACATCTTGGATGTTGTGAAAAGTATCTGCTAATTTTCTATCTAAAAGGAAAAATTCAGCATTTTGGGAAATATGCTCATTCACCTTCTTGCCTAGAGTTAGATGAGAAGCACATCCAGTTACCTCAACGTAGCATAAAGACCAGAAACTGGGAAAACTACGAGCCTGGCTCTGTCCATAGTTAACTTCTGTGACATAAGTCCACACAAAAACTAAACTGTAACAACAGCAATAACACAGTTTTACATTATATATATAGACTACTTCACCTCAACTGTGATGACCAAACTCCATAGGTCTGTAAAACCAGTCTTCAGTTTTTGTACAGATTAATAAACAAGTGAGCCTTGGAGGTGCCAATAGGCTGAGTTTTATCTGTGGACAGAGCCAGGCTTGTTGTCACCCTTGTCTTTAAGCTAAGGTGCTTGCCTTCATATTCACTGTACAGACAGGATGGGTTGGAGTTTGTCATCTAACTCTTGATAAGAAAGCAAAATAACATTTCTCAAATATCTGACTAGTCCTTTGCAGAAATACAAAACGGCAGCACAGTAAAAGGGATAGCAAATAAAGATAAATAATTGCCATCTCAACATTCAGGAAAATTAATTTCGGAGCTAACCATGCAGCGATACTCGGAAGCATCTCAAGTGAAATCTACAATACATTCTACTGCAAATGAAAAAAAGTCAAATCCAGTGGATTTTGGCATCTTTTCATTGATGAGTCAAAATCCCAGGATGTCAAATATAGTATTCTATTTATTTGTTTTGTGCAATGTTAACTCAATTACATGTAGGCTTTTTTGTTACAAAATGCAGATAAGCTCTTTATAGAAAATAGTCTGTGCATGGAAACCTACAGTTCATCCTCTGTACAGCACAAGTTTACAGACCGAAACACGACAGCATCATAAGGTCAGAGCGGATTCTTTTTCTAGATTTGTTTTAGAGAAGGCTGGACAAAAGTGGATGGAATCGCATGCACTGTAACGTTACATGCAAGCAGGTTTTACATATAATGCTCTTTCTACTCATCTTGTTTAAGCAACAGTGTGTCCAGACTTGATCACCAGGTCAGTAATTGTTCTTCCAGTTACAGAAGGAACTGCGGTCTCTCTAAAACCCGCTTCCTTTTTAATCCTATGTTGTCTGCTTGATGATGTCAAAGAAACCCCTTTCCAACATTCTGGATCTTAATAATAAAGTGGTTTGTTACTTGGCACAAAGAAAAGTCTTATTCTTTGTCCTCAGCTCTCACTCTGAACTTTGGTTTTTAATGAGCTATAAAAGAAAATGATTTGGGGCAAAGAACTGACTGTCCTTCAGGCTCAAACACTAAAGGTAGATGTTCAGTGTCAAACGTTTCAGTGAGCTGCTTGGCAGCTACTGATAAAGTGAAAACACTCTAAACTAATGGCAACTCTTTAGCAACTGAAAACCTTCAGTGGCCTTTCCTTCTCAAGCAAAGACTGACTTCAGGGCTGGTGCATGATTAAAGCCACAGACCCGACAACAACCGATTCCTCTTCCCCTCACTCACAAGTCAGGAGGGGATCATGCCTTTGTTCCTCTTGCGGTCGGCCATGGTGCGGCGGTTGTGGTTTGCCACACGGTTCTTGTTGGCTTCCTTCTTGCGTCGGTCCGATGATGTCTCTGTGGTTTGTCCTTGGCCTTTGGGTCGGCCAACAACATTAGTGGAACGCTCCGGACGGAAGCTGGAAGAGAAGAAAAAAAAAAAAAAAAAGAGAGGCTAAGCATTTTACGAGTTTGTGAACTTTTACACAAAATTTAAGTCTTTTTTTCTGAATTTAAGAAGAAATATTTAACGTGAACACTAGAAACAAATTCTTTTTACCATATAATGAGCAGGTCATGCTAAGCCTCTCAGGTTTAAACATTCATGTGTTAATTGCAACATTTCTCTTAAAGATAATGTTTTCATTTCCACTCAGCTCTTAGTCACTTTCTAGTCAGGTTGACTGATGTAGCTCAAAATCAGAAATTTGACTGAGGGCTTTGTGATATTTACAACATACAACAGGAAAAAAAAAGTGTGTTTTTTTCTTTTAAGAAAAGGCCTGAATCACAGAGCTAGAGAAAGTAAGGATCTGCAGCGTGAGTCCAGTCTTTACCCTTTCCTTTGCTGCATGGCAGCTCTTCTGGCTTCAGCCCTCTCCCGCAGCACAGCCGGGTCCTGCACAAACTGGTCCCTGTTTACATTCTTCTGAAATCCAACATATAAAAACATGGTTGAAAAGTACAAAAGAAAATTAAAAATGGCAACACGCAGATAGAATGGCCACACATTTGTAGCTAAAGCCTTTCATTCCAAATCTACATAAACATTTCAGAATACAAAGCAACCTGAAAATCATCAGGCAGCATAAAAAAAACAAACATTTTTATTCACTAAAGGTTTATTTGGCAAATTTGTTAAATCCTTACATGTGTAATAACTTGGTGTAATACTGGCCTCCTTGTGAGATGGTCAGAATTTGTGAATGCAACCCATTATACCTCTGAGAAGACAAGTGCAGACCTATGCTTGTAGATCACACTTGCTGAAAATATAAAGTTGGTTTTAGCTCCTGTAACCATCATTAACAGAACTACATGTTAGCGTTACCCAGGGTATCCTACCTACATCCCCTTCTGTCTGGCACTATGCACCAGTGTGCACAGCCTCCACTTTAAGAGCTACTTGATACCCCTTGAAAACCTCAGTTTTGCAGCTCTCCAGTTACAAAAAGCACAGTTGTGACTCTTAAAGCTACACAGATAAATATGTCCTTTAGGAGTCTATTAGAACAACAGTACTATCTTATCAGAGAACATTTAAAGATGGGTTTAAAAAAAGGTTTATGTACCTGTAAAGTCTCTTCCTCCTCTTCGCTCTCCTCCTCATCCTCAGGTTTGTTTTCTTTTCTCAGCACCTGTGGGACTGTGAAGGGCCTGCCGAGGACACAAAATTTAAAAAGTACAATAAACACAATGAGCATCCACAATAAGAACAACATATTCTAAGTTCAGAATAAATCCTATCAAAATTAAAATGTGATTTTTAAATTCTACTTCACTGCGTCTCGACTCTGTGATCAAAGACACAGACACGACTCTGATCTACCTTCTATTGAGCAAACTGTCTCTGTCCAGGTCATTGACTCCCACTTGGTTCATGTCATAGGTGTCATCGTACTCGTCATCGTAGTCGTCCAGGCCATAGGTGGCTGCGGCTTCACCAGGTTCAATGACGACTTCATCCACCACCGTCTCATAGGCCTGGTAACGAGCCCTCTGCTCCGCTATGTGCTGCTTGTCATTGAGCATCTCTCGAGCGCCCTCACCTTTCCTGTAGGGGTCAGAAGACGCTTGGCCTAAGATAGTCTCACCTGTTTACTTTTTGTTTTGTCACTGGTACATTCGTCTTTTGCATCATTACTACTGTGTAATTTGAAGTACATAAAATGTCCAGGGCATATTAATTTTTGTTTAGAGAGCATCTCCTTTGTGTTTTTTTTACCTCCTGCCCCTCCAGATGCGAGACATGTCCACCTGGTCCCTGCGGAAGACGTCAAACTCATCATCGTCAAAGACGTTGGATCTGCTGCTCAGGACACTTCGAAGCTCCTCCTTCACTGGCCTGGAACCAGCACACAAGAGGTTCAAACAATAGGTTTACCATAAACTTTAAAACCAGCCTTTTCATACATTCCGATTTTTTCTCCCAGTTCTTTTCTTTGCCTATTATATGTGAATGCCAAGAGAGAAAAAAGAAACCTAAATTGCACAAATTACTTTGGAAAAAGAAGCTGACTGTGGCCCAAATATATAGAGAACAAAATGCAAAAAATGTTGCAGTAAAAACAGGAATCGTCAGAATTCCTGCAGTTTTTATAACAAAACGGTGACTGTTACTGTATGTTTGCATTGAAGAGATGCCTCCAAAAAAATAAATCAGCCTTATATGCCGAAGCTGTCCTAGCCTTTGGTGTCACCTTGGCATGGCACGGTCCAGTTTGTCCAGGCTGGGGGCTAACCGGTCCTCCAGGATGTTGTTGATGACCAGCTCAGAGTTGTAGTTGTACTCTTTCAGGCAGGCCAGCAGGAAGCCTTCTCCCAGATCAGGCAGCAGATCCCTGATACACGACAGCAGAGACTCCAGCTCCACTTCGCTCACAGAACAGACCTCACCCTGGAAACAAAAACAAAAAGAGAGACACAGACAATACCAGAAATAAAGTATACTGCAAAAGTTGGGTGTAAGTCACTTTCAGCCATCTGTGGTGCCAACTCACACCGATGGCTCTAACCATTGGGGGCAACTTGGGGGTTCAGTGTCTTGCCCAGGGACACCGACATGTGGACTGCAGGCACCAAGATTTGAACTTCCGACCCTCAGGTTGGGAAAAAAACTGCTCCACCCACTGGACCACAGTTGCCCCTTACTGCATGTTAAATCCATGCAAATCTTAGCACTTTCTGCAGGTGTGGTCTTTTTCACGCCTGTTCATATGAATAAGCATCAGTATTTTTCAGTCTATGCAGGTTTTTAGCTTCCTTGGAATCCATACTTTTATCATACAAATGTAAATGCAGTGCCACTCCGCTGTGTTGCTTGTGTTCTTTCATCATTTATGTATTTTATGACTTATAGCACTTTGCCTTTTCCTCCCAGACATACCTACACACCAGTGCTGAAAGACGTTTTATTCCTTTTTCCTCACTGTACAATATAAATACCCAGCATGAAAAGTCTGTGAAAAGATCTGTTTATTTATTTATTTATTTTTTAAGTAAAGTGAGAAGAATTAAAATTTGGGGCTTGGCTTAATTATAATGACATTTTGCTGACAAGTTTTCGTTTTATTGAACTCATGGAGATAATTATCTGAAGTTCGGGAGCAGGACCTCATCCTAATCCTTCCTTTTCCACATAGTTTAAATTCTCCATCCGTACATATTTCTACCCCCACCCAGTCTTTCCCTCCCTTATTCTTCTGCTTTAATACCTGTCCTTTCTCCCCATTCCTACAGGCGGGCTGCCTGTGAGTGGAGCAGACCCCCTAAGCCTTCCCCAAACCCACCAGGTACATAAGTATGCATTGTTCCCTTGAGCATATCCATGTTTAGTGATGGTAGGTCCCTGCTAGTGAATTGTATTTTATCATGGTGTGCAACCTTTTCATTTCTTTACTTAAACCTATTATGCAATATAAGCACTTTAAGCTGCAATTTATGCATAACAAGCATGATAGAAAATCATTTGCTGTGATTAGTCTTTTAGTAGATGGAAACTAAATTCAGTCATTATTTTGATAATAATCTTTCAGTATTGTTTAAGCAAAAATTCCAAACATTTTCTGATTAAAGCTTCTCCTACATGATGATTTGGCATATGTCATGTTTGGCAATATCTGGCAAACCAAATATTTGTTTTTTTAAAACTGTTGATCAAACTAAAGCCAATTCATCAAGAAAATAATGAGCAGATTAATCAATAAAGAAACTAATCGTTAGTTGCATATTTTAGAACAGAATTTTGTTAAACAAGCATATTGTATTATCTGTGAAGCTTCTTTCAGCTGGTAACCAGCGATGGCTGACATACCCATGTTAGTAGCCAGAGAACTCACATTGTTTCCTTTACAGGGAGCATCCAGCATGGCCTCTGCTCCCTTCACACCGTCTCCTCCATCTCCTGGTTCTCGGACCTCCTGAGGTTTGAAGCCAGCTGAAGAGGCAGCAGGGCCCACTGCTTCCTGATTAGATGACGACAATGAAAAGGCTTTAGACCGACTCTGGTTCTGTGGTTTTTGTCGTCCCACGCTGTCCCAGGCACTTTCCACCCCCTGAATCAGGTAACACGTCCTGGTCTCATCACTGAGGGAAGCAGGTTGTTAAAGAAGAAAGCAAGTAAAACAAATAATTCTACAAGAAAATGGTTTGCTACAAAAACAAAAGGCCAGCTTTGAGAACACTCTTCCATCTTGGGACTGTTGATTTTGGCCACACATAATTGACACTTCTCAAAAGGCTTTAATTCAAGAGCCAAAGCTCTGATCTTAAAGGAAATGCTAAAATGTCATTTTTACATTTGGAAACACACATGCAGAGTTTGGTGCCCACCTTCATCTTGACTTGATCTGTTCTACTGCCTAATCAAAAACTTCATTACTTTTGTACACTGTTGCCTGCCATACAAATCTGTATAAAGTTAAGGACCTGTTAAGGATACATGACTGGGAGTGCCTGTTGTAGGAGGCCTATGTCATCTGCAATGGGGAACAGCTCATCGTAGTCTGACAAGAACCTGAAAGGACAAACAGACAAAACTCAAATTAAGGCTGTGGACCCATAGCCCATTCTCCAGTTTATTCAGACTGTGCCATGATTCCACTGGCACTTTTAAGTTACATTATTAGAAACAAGTGGATCAAGTAAAAATATGTTAATAATCTTAATGAACCACAAACAATACTGTCACTAAGCTTCACACATTTAATTAATTTTTCATTATGTGGCACTTGAGCTACAAAAAATGAACAGCCTAATACAGAACTGTGTTTCTTTACATCGTCTGTCAAGAATTCCAGATGCAGTCCCATTAGACAGATGTCCAGTGGGTTAGACTTAATCAAAAGCCATTAAAAACACAATACAACAAACAACAGTGTTTCCTATGTGGACATGCAAGTAAAGCAGAGAGAAAACCAAACAGAAAAGCAATCATTCAGTTTCTCATTGCTCTTCAAAACAAACTGAAAAACAAATCACTTCTTAGATTTAATGGTGACCAACTGACAAACCCCCCAAATACCTTGAAGGAAACAGCCAGCCACACAATCTGAACTGCTGGTCTTACCTTTTCTCAGGTAAAAAAGACGTGAAATGTTGTAAGAGTTCTTCTGCAAATGTTTGCATGTTTTCTCTTCTGCAAGAACATAAACATTAGCAGAGTTAATGTGTGTGTGAATGGGTAACACTAATCCTACAAATGCTGTATGCTGACAGCTTGGACGTCTCACCCATCCAGAATTGGCTGCAGGCAGGTGTGATGCAGCAGCAGGTGAGATGTCTCCACCATCTTACGACAGGAGTGGGACAACCTCTTCCACAAGTCCTCCTGAAGACTAGAGGAGGGTGGGGGGTGGGGTCATTTATTCAGCCAGTGGGTCTTAATCATTCAGCCTGACACTGTATTAAATCCCTGAAAGAGATACTCACCCTTTATCGTCAAAGTTTCTCTTCCTAACCGCCTTCTCGAGGTCAGGCACAGCAGCCTCATAAAACGAGGCCAGTCTGCCAGGAGAGAGAACCAGATTATCACAAGAGTTTTTGTTTTTGTTTTATATAGAAGCATGTTAATGAGAGTTGAGAGGTGGTGCTGTCAGCTGAGAGGCGAGTTCTCCATCTGTCTACCTGTTGACAAAGTCGTGGGAGTGGAAACTGGAGCAGGCGGCAGGAAAGATGTCCAGGAAGGCATGGATAGTCGTAGTTGAGTCACACAGGTACAGAATTATATCTCCAAGTTCCTAGAACATAAAAGGACAAGACAGCAAATTAACAATGACATGACAGAGCCACGCAGTAATAATGACACCATTTGGTATTAATCTAGGTTTCACCAAAATTAGAAAAACTGTTGGTCATTTTACCTTTTGCTTTTAAAAATAACAGAACCAAACAGGTCACCTAATGTTCCTGCTAGATCTCTGTCCTGAGCACATGTTAATACATTTGTATGTTGACGGCTACTAAACATATGACTGATTTGTCTACAAGTATGAACACAGATGTTGAAGTAATCAAGCAGTTACTTCCCTTTTTCCCCATAACTGGAGTACAAGTTTACTGCTCTTGTGTTATGTTCAAGAATGGGTTTGGACTAGAGTATGGCTTGAGCTGCATATTTCTGTCCCAACCCGAGCCTGAGTTTGTGCAGTGTTTTTCTAGCATGGTCCTTGTGGTGTGTGGTGCATCTGACCTGCTGGCTCATGGCCATGGCAGTGGGCTGTTTGTGTGCGTTCAGCTTCATCGGCTCCATGGCGGCAGCTCCTTCACACCGGAGACCACACTTTTCCAGGATGGTGTCAAACACCTGAATGTCACAGAAGATAAATGGAGAGACAATGAGGAGGAGAATGAACTATAATCCCACAAAAAGACATTTACATTTAAGTGATTGGGGTGTCTTGAATTAATTACATTTTTAACCATTTAAACTTGTAGATAAGTGTAGTTTTAAAAATTGATCTTACCTGCAGCACAGTGGGCACCGTCTCTTCCAGGTCACTGTAATAAGATGGCTGCTGGGTAAAGATGTTCTCTATAAAGACATCATTACAGAAGTTAATGAAGAAACAAAACTGATAACCTAACAGATCACTACCTATTTTAACCTTATGGATCTATTTCATTTCATAATATAACTCGCTGATAAGACAGACTTTAAACAGCTCACCTATCATCTTATGCAGCAGGTGGTTGTTGCCCTTTCCAAAAAGCACACACAGATCTAAAATTTTGGGAATGTCAAATAGGAAGTTCTCGTAGATAATTTCTCCAAACACCGCTGGTGTTAGGAAGTTCTCCTGAGGGAAGAAGAGCACACACAACTCAGCAGGTTATTTTGCACGGTTTTGTACTGAGGAGTTGACATTGTCAATACCACTGTACACCTGATGCACAGTCAAATCAGCTCATTGATAATGATTTTAACTGGTAATTAAGATCAACATTTCTTACCTTTGACTCTTTATGTGTGGCCATCCTGAGGAAGGTCAAGAAGACCGCTCTGTGGATGGAGCGCTGCATATCGGCCACGGCTGGGGAGGAAGGCAGGGCAGCAAGATCAAGGCCCCGAGGAGCATGACGCAGGTACGAATCGAGGCACCTCTGCAGGGACTCATCAAACACCACCTGGTGAAAAAGACAGACCATGGCAGTGAAAGGGGGAAAAATGGAAAAACTGTTCCTATAAGAATAACTGAGTGACATCCATGCTGCTTCCTTTAGGCCCCTGGTCACTGGACCTTCTAGTCTGTGGACAGCTGTGGGTAAAGGAAAATAAAATGTAGCTCAGCAAAATGCTTGTGTATCAACAGTCCCTTACCTGACACCAGAACCTATCATGTGGCAGTGCAAGCAGCCACTCCAGGTCCTCTGTAATGAACCTGGCTTGTTCCAAAAACTCCTCCACCTCAGCAGGAGAGCCATCTTCTGGTGGGGGCTTGTAAGGCAGAAAATAACGCTCCTCCTTCCTCTCTGGGTGCTGATTTGGAAAAGAATACACAGGGTTTGATTCTAATAAATTGGTCTTTGTGAGAGGCTGTTGCTGGGACTGCACCAGCATCAGGAGAGCTGACTCACCAAAGCAGGAAGTGTGTGCTCTTTTCCCTGCGGGCCAGGCTCGGTCACCTGCTGCTCATCCAGCGGCACCCGGGGACAGGCCATGACTTCACCCTCGCTACGTTTCTTCTACCAAATCATACCAAAACAAAGAAATTCAAAATACATTTAGCTTCTGTATATCAGTCATTGTAGTTTTTTGTGGTTGTATTCTTAAATATTTGAAGTATTGGCCGAAGTATTACACCTCTTATAGGGGAGGAGAAACTAGAATTGGTTTAAGCCGTTATTAGGAGATAACATAACTGTTTTGCTACACTATGGTAACAAAGGCTGCAAGTAACAATTAGCTAAATTTTATCATCAACTGGTCAAACATTTCTTATTAACCAATTATTGTTTAGTCTATAAAACATAAAACAGAGAAAATATTTACCACACTTTTCCTGAATATTTCAGTCTTGTTTTATATTAACAGTTTCAAAAATGACTACAACAATGAATCAATTATAGCCTAAACATGGTTGATTATCTTTCTTTTTGTGTTAATCCACAAATCAATTTACTAATTAACTGTTTTAACTCTAGAAACAAATATCCACTTAAACTTTTATTTGTATTGGCAACTCCGACCAAGTCAAAGAGCAGGATTACTTTAATACAATATTATGTTACAAAAGCCAGTGCAACTGACTCCAAGTGCCTTGGGTTCTCAGTTTGTAAGAAGAACTTTATCATTAGGCTGACATGAAGAGACCAGTGAGTGAGATCAGTGGATTGGAAAATATGGTTATGGCTTTTGTAGAGCTGCTTCTCCTAGTGTTTGGCCTGATGGCGGAGCTCAGCTCCTCCACACACATGGAGCACAGCAAGCAGAGGCCACGAGGAGAGCATGACATCAGTTGAAGTAAATCCTTTTGCTTGTTACTGTATGTGCAATAAAACCTTGGCAAGTAAATGAGCAGAATCTTGCAGAAAAGCAATCAATTCAGCTTTGCCTGCAGCCTGTCCTCCACCGTCTTGATGCGTTGACCATAGTGAGCATTTACCAAGCAGCATTCTTACAACCCCACTGCCAACCATCATGCTTTTACATCAGAAGCTAATTTGTTCCCTGGGCTTCAGTCCTGTTGTGAAAATATACATCATAATGTGTTTGAGGGTCTTTTACACCAGGGAGAGTTCTTGGGAATAAAAGATATATCACACACACACACACACACACACACACACACACACACACTATATTGCCAAAAGTATTTGCTCGGCTGCCAGCACATGCAAATGAACTTGATTAACAACCAATTCTTAATCCATAGAGTTTAATATGATGTTGGCCCACCCTTTGCAGCGATAACAGCTTCAACTCTTCTGGGAAGGCTGTCCGCAAGGTTTAGGAGTGTGTTAATGGGAATTTTGGACCATTCTTCCAGAAGCGCATTTGTGAGGTCAGACACTGATGTTGGAAGAGAAGGCCTTGATCGCAGTCTTCACTCTAATTCATCCCAAAGGTGTTCTATCGGGTTGAGGTCAGGACTCTGTGCAGACCAGTCAAGTTCTTCCACACCAAACAAACTCACCTTGCTTCGTCCACTGGTGCACAGTCATGTTGGAACAGGAATGGGCCGTCCCCAAACTGTTCCCACAAAGTTGGGAGCATGAAAAACAACCCCACATCATAATCCCCCCTCCACCAAACTTTACACTTGGCACAATGCAGTCAGACATGTACCGTTCTCTTGGCAACCGCCAAACCCAGACTTGTCCATCAGATTGCCAGTCAGAGAAGCGTGATTCATCACTCCAGAGAACATGCCTCCACTGCTCTAGAGCCCAGTGGTGGCGTGCTTTACACCGCTGCATCTGACGCTTTGCATTGCACTTTGTGATGTAAGGTTGGATGCAGCTGCTCGACCATGGAACCCCATTCCATGAAGCTCTCTACACACTGTTCTTGAGCTAATCTGAAGGCCACATGAAGTTTGTAGGTCTGTAGCTCTGCAGAAAGTTGGCGACCTCTGTGCACTATGCATCTCAGCATCCACTGACCCCACTCTGTGATTTTACATGGCCAAGCACTTTGTGGCTGGGTTGCTGTCGTTCCCAATCTCTTCCACTTTGTTATAATACTAAGTTGACTGTGGAATATTTAGTAGTGAGGAAGTTTCACGACTGGACTTATTGCACAGGTGGCATCCTATCACGGTACCACGCTGGAGTTCACGGAGCTCCTGAGAGCGACCCATTCTTTCACAAATGTTTGTAGAAGCGGTCTGCATGCCTAGGTGCTAGATTGATTATATACACCTGTAACCATGGAAGTGGTTGAACACCTGAATTCAATGATTTGGATGGGCGAGTGAATACTTTTGGCAAAACAGTCTTAGTGTGAAATTGACAGAGGCTGGGGAATAGTGTTGCTGTGGTGTTTTCCAACCATATGTGATGTTTAAGAGGGGAAAAACTATTAATGGTAAAATGTAATAAGATAATGAGACCACTGGGATTTAATCTTTTAACTGTGATTTTGACAGTACGACAACGACATTAAAATACAGTAAGTTAATTGTAATGTTACATTAATAAAGGAAATTGCATTCTTCATTTCACTCCTGTTGACAGTTAACTTAAAGGGTGTTGATAACAGCATATATGACTTAAGCCGAAAGCCGCTGCTGCTATAAAGCTAACAGCAACGGTTTATTCAGCTTACTAATGTTCGAAAAACTTCAGCTTGAAACAGGTAAAGCTAACTGTTTAGTTTGCTACCCACGTTAACGTTGGCTAGTAAAATCAACTTAACATTGACAATGTAACGTCTATACCCTTCGTAGCTCCCTTGGAGTGATGACATATAGTTATTTAGCTAAGGTCCAACTTACAATCTAACGTTACGCTTTTGGCTAAAGTAAGCTAACGTTAGCTACCCGCTGTTTAATAAATCCCAACACAAGACAGCACGTCAATGAATGGACAGGCTAACGTTAGCGCAGCTAATGTAGCTAACCAGCTGGTGACTTTGGAACCGTTCAATTGTGACTCGTATATAATAACTGTGGATGAAAGAAGTTAATAAAGCTGCTCACCTCTTAATATGACCGTCGGTGAATCTATCAAGCCATTCCTTCAGTTTCCAAACGTCTTCTACTCACCGGTGCGTTTTTTTTTTTTTTTGTACGAACGCATGTGCAACAAAACTACCTCTGGTTTTCTTTACCGCCCCCTCGTGGGAAACAGTGCGCAGCTTCAGTGTGACTTCTAAAATCTTGCTTGCTTGTGTTGTACTGTCAACAGTAATAATAATAATAATAATAATGTGCCCGTATTCATCCCTACTATACAAGACAGCTTCATTATTCCAGAGACCCTGATTATGGACAGCCAGAAATCAAACTAGTATCCTAAACCTGAAATGACAGAAACTTACAAAAACTTTGACAACTGATTAATCATTTAAAGCATTGTTTTAAATTCCATAAATAAATAAATAGGTTGCTCTAGCTTTTCAAATGTTAATATTTGATAGTAAACAACAACTGCTTTTTGGCTGCTTGTCAAAAAAGTAAATTGAACATAAGAATATGAATGAATAAATGATTGGAATTTATTGAAGTGTGATGCCATGTCATGGCCCATTCATCATGAAATTACAAAACACCTTTACATTGTATATCAACTTTTCTTCCTTCAAAGAAACATCCACCAGTTGTCTGGTCACATAGCAATTCAAATAGTCATTAGAGAAAAAGGATAGAGAAAACAACTAAAATAAGTAAAAAACAAAATAAATCAACATAACCCTTCAACATTATATTCATTGTCATGATAATCACATCATCAGCACAACACTCAGTGATGATACAAAATGTTCTTCCCAAGTGTTCCTGAAGCCACTTTAAGTGTCTCTTTATCAAACAACCATTTTTATTGATTCCATCATCTCATTCAGATAATTTATATCATTAAACAAAAAATGACGATACATGTTCAAGGAACAAAAAAGATTCTCACACATGAATAATTAAGATATGCTGTTTTTCACATTTCACACAAAGAATCAGTAAAGATATATAAATAAATGTTAGATACTGTACATTGATAACAAAAATAATTGTAGGTTGCAGGGTTACAGCACTTCCATAAAAAAAAAAAACCCTTCTAAAATTTCCACCAAAAAAAAAAAAAAAAAAAAAAAAGCAATTTGCCTAATATCAATTTCTGACACTTTTTCTGCTGTACTCTTCATCTAATGGAGAAAATATGTAAATAAATACTTGTTGCCTCAAATACCTGAATATTGATTGAAGCTTTGTATTAACAGGGGATTTAAGAAACAGAAATATTGTTAATGTTAAATTTTAACTAACTAGTTAAATTTTTTATTTTAACTAATGTTAAATTTTAATTAACTAGTTCCGATATACAGAGGTGCAAACTGGTGAGAGTCCAGTAAAGGCTTTATTCTATTATAAAGCCACGTCCGGTTCTTTCAAACCAGGAACTCAGAGGGACGACTCAGACCACTTGGATATATAAAAAATATAACCGTGCTGGTTTATTCAAAGGGTCACAGGCAAGAATTAACATTACACGTCCAGGCATCTTCCACCCCCAAAGCTGCTCGCAGGCAGCCCGGAAGAAGCAAGACCCCGAACCTAATAGCCTATACAATTTAATCACTTCGTTGGGCTAGCCCCATCCTACACAGGCCACGTCAAACCGTGACGGCACCTGATATGCCAGCTTGGCAGCTGAGCAGAGCAGTAGTCAAAACATGAAGAAAATAATGTGTGTGAATGTTGATTATGTGGTGTGTATCTAAAAACATACAGGACATTCAGGGACATGTCCGAACAGTAAGCCTCGGAAAATGTTATGATTAAGATTACGGCTGAGCATATCAATAATAATAGCAATATTCATCCTGCCTGCAGACTCTGCAATCTAGCTGACCTTGCCCTAGATGCAGCCTGCAGAACTCATGACAATGAACTGAGCATTTAACAGCCTGAGCAAGACATCCTGGCTACACTAACATTTTCTAATACAACAGATCTCTAATCAATATCTATCTAACTAAGAAATTACCTAACAAGGTCATACATTTCACACTTCTGTACCTCCGGCCAGAGGGTAGGGACCTGAACAGTCCGTGCTTTTGTCATATGCACAATTAGGAAATGTGTTTCCCTGTACAATGAAATTCTTACTTTGCCATCCACATGAATGCCACACAATACAAATGAAATATAAAGTAACAGCTTTCCTATGCACCCTGTGGTGGTAAATACTCTGCAGAGAGGGCAGTGGAGTCCTCGTGATCTTCTCCGCAGTCTTCACCACTCTCTGCAGGCACTTGTAAGTCCAAGTGAGGTCCTCACTGATGTGGACACCCAAGTATTTGAAGCTGCTCACCCTCTCCACTTCGAACCCCTGGATGAACAGTTGCTGATGAGATCTCCTCTTCTTCCTCATGTCCACTATCATTTCCTTTGTCTTGTCCGTGTTGAGGGTGAGATTATTGTCCTTGCACCAAGACACCAGACCGGCCACCTCCCTCCTGTAGGCTGCTTCGTCCCCGCCAGTCATGCAACCTATCACCTATGGGTGAACAGGGTGTAGAGGATAGGACTGAGGACACATCCCTGTGGGGTGCCAATGTTCATAGTAATGCTGGCTGAAGTCCTATCGCCAATCCTGACAGTCTGGGGCCTGCCAGTTAGAAAGTCCAGGAGCCAGTCACAGAGGGTGGGGTGCAGACCCAGTGTGGACAGTTTGTGGGTGAGTTTGTTGAGAAGAGTTTGTTTACTCTCATCCTTCAGCTGTTTCAGCAATTGATTTCAGGCATTTTCAGGGCGATCCTTAAGCATATCAGCATCCACACACATTTTCGACAGGAAATGCATTTGTCTAGTTACATAAGCACACCTTGCCATCCTAGCACATCTTCTGTTTCCCCAAGTAGGCCTTCTTAGTGATGGTCATCTGACATTCGAGGCTCCGACATATGCGCGGTAGCTCATGAAGCAATTGTATCGACCCACTTTGCCGAGGCGTGTTTTGGTCACGTGACTAGTGACATTTGAATCACTTGAGTGACGTCCAAAGCAGTTGTGCGTTGGACGTCATGCGAATCAGCTGATTGGTTCGGTTTGTCATGTTTCTGCCTTCCTTGCTGCCCTGATAGAGATTTCAACCTCAGACTGAACTAAGTACTGCTCTCTGCCTGATCCCTCGAGACTGTGTCTGTTCTTGTCTAACTTACAGACAGACATTAAAACCTGTTCTGCTGCCTTAGCTTACTGGCTCTTTAATTGGGTTCACACCTCCATCTTCACGGGAGCTTAACACACCCCTCCCTGACAGTCATGTGAATCACTTTGCTTGATCTAGTGTGTTCAGAGATAGGATATCCCTATTTAGTGGCATTCATTTGAATCTGTCTTTGCAGAGTAGGTTGGTTTGTTGCTGTCGTTAGTTGCTTTGAGAATTAGTAGTGTAGCAGATTCTCTATGTAGTGGAGAATCAGTGTAGATAGATAGAACAATAGATAGCTAGATAGTAAGTTACTTAGACAAATTGATAAAATAGTTATAGTTAGATAACACTAGATAAATATAGTTACATAGATAGTCCTAATAGAGAGAGAGAGAGAGAGAGAGAGAGAGGGAGAGAATAGATTAACTATCTAGCTAGATATACATAACTAGATAAGTTACACAAGCACACCCTCTTTACCCACATACCCATGAACCTCTTTACCAATGAACCCCAAAACATACTTTGCCAAACCCCATAATATAATCATATTTGCACCAGTTCCGTGTGAAAATGACATCTGTCTGAATTTGTATAGCACATCTCATGTATGTAGCAGCACCATTTAAATGTTTCATAACACAAAATATAAGTGAGGAGCCTATAGGGCTACACTCAGACATACCAAATATAATACATAGTCTTCAACATGAGTCCATGTTTATTTTATATTTTATTGCATCAGCTTGAAACCATACAACCATGTAGTGTAGTCGAACAGGAATGTGCATGGCGAATCAAATCCCAAACAATCCACGAACCAATAAGTGACACGTCTTGACTGCGCTTAATTTTCTTGACCACTAGATGTCCTACTCGAGCACTGTGTCATTGAGGCCTCGAGTAATGAACCATTTTTGTGAATACTGTGTCGAAGCTTCAACAAAGCCTCCTTTACCCATCACTAGGCCTTCTCCCACCTACTACACTATATACATTTATAGAATCAACCGACCAATCAATCTTTACAAACAGGTATTTACATCATTCACAGCAGGCCTAGTTACACCCATCACATACTGTAATTCAGACATTGTTTTGTTGTCTCCGATTTCGCAACTAGATGTCACTGAAACGAACCTTTGAATGAATGAGCCCATGTTCAATACAATTGATGAAGTGGTTCGATACCGGTTCATTGCTTCATTTGGACATCACTAGTAGACAGCACTGGAAAGAGAATTAGTACACAGGTCAACATCTGAGCGTGACTATTATCGAAGCACACAAAGAAGTCTCTTTAATGGTTTGGTTAGCCGTGCTGTTAGCATGAACACAAGCAGAAAATACTGAAACTATTCCGACTTGAAGTTCGGTGAAACACCACTGACAGCACGGCGATGTACATCTCTGTAGATGTACATCGCCGGTTAAAGGTAATTTCTCAAACGAATCGGTTTAAATGTATTATTTGCTTGGTTTACTCATTTAAATCATTAACAATTTAATTTAGCGCAGTTAATCTCGAACGAGCCTACTTTCACCGCCGGAACTTTACAGTGTGACACCTGGCGGAAGTAAGTAAACAAGGCATCATTATCCTTAACTCCGGAAGAGGGGCCAGTTGAGAACAGTTGTCGTATTTCAGATAAATATTTCAGTTGTTAACGAATCAGCAATGTCGTCAGTTCAATATCTGACACGGTATATCAACGAGCGACTAACTGCAGCTGCCGAAGAAATAGTCGGGGTCTTTGAAAAAACTCTCCTCGACTACGAGGAAGAGATCGATCGTCAGCGCAGACTGCTGGATATCGTGTGGAAACCCCAAGTAGTGCTACACAGGATAGGTCTGTAAAACAGGAATGATTTTACTAAAGTTAACAGTTGAACCAAGACTAAATATGATTTAACATGGATAAGGACTGGCGAGGCTGACAACTCATAATACGACTCCATGGCCGTAGAAACCTATCGCTGGCATTTGGATTACATCATTAGTAGTTTAAAAGTTATTCAAGAACGCCAATATGTCACTAATGGCAGTTTTCTTCAAAATCTAGTTTGGTGTCCATTGAAAATATGTCAAATGTGTCGATACTCTACTGAGTCAGCAGTTTTGTTCTTGCATGCAAGTTTGTTGTTTCACAGTAACTTCCTTTCCATGAGCCCTATAAATGTGAGAATTTTGGATCAGCAGAGCCAGAATATTGTTTGGATTCAGATCAGACTTTGGTGTGTGGTAGATCTTATGGGAATGTTATCTTGCAATGGTTTTCAAATGTTCTAAGCAATGTGCTCAAAAATATTGAAATTGTCTCTATTTCACAATAATGAAGAATCCTTTAAAAAAAATTCCTGGATCTAGATGATGATCTGCATCACCATGAAAGTCTAAAAGATTGTTCTGTGGGCTGTACCCTACCTCTCCAAAACATTTCAGTGTAGTGGTTAAAACAAACAAGCTACAGTTTATTTTCAATATGTAGTAGAATACAGTGTGTGTGTAGATGACATGTAGTTACTATATGCAGTAGTCAGTTAACTAATTTCTGCAAGCCCTCTGTACTATGTCAGCTCACTGGGTAAATAGTTTGTGTGTGCTGAAGTAAGAACATTTTGGGTTCATGGCCTGTTTGTTTAACTCATTGGGTCATCCTGATCTGGAGATGACCTGTTAACTAGGTTTGGGAATTGGCGGGGGAGCCAAAAGTGAGCAGTGTACAAAAGGAGGCAGTATGCTGCTGCAGTGGGGGTAGTTTTAGTGTGTGTGCATGCGGAAGAAGGACGTTTGAGTGAGACCCCGGCCGGGGGGATGTGACGGACTTGACTGTGCTTATGACTTAAAAGAGACTGACTGACTCTGTGATGTCACAGATCAAAATCTGCCTGGCGACAAGATCACCAAATGAGGGGTCAGAACGAGGTCAAGAAACCAACCAAGGAACAAGGATGAAGGACAACGCGGATGACGTCAGATCATTTGCATGACTTTTATTATAAATTCTCTATGTAGAGGAAACTCGTGGTTCTGGCTTCCTGCAGCAGCTATGCACTATACTTCTGTGTGATAGGGCTTCAGAAAGAGACGGAATCCAGAGCTCTGTATTGCTTTTCTTGAATATTTTCTCTGAAATATTGATTGTAATAAATATCTTAAAAGACAGATTTGTCTTTGACCATTCTTCATAAAAGAACATGCAAGGACTGGTTTAGTCCAACACATTCTAGGATTGTTTTGGTTTGGTGTACCATCTCTTAGTTTTAGGTCTAGGATGGCGGTCCTCCCATGATGTTCTGGGCTCCTATCCTCCACTCCTCCATCTTATTTCTGTATACCACCATTACATGTTCTAACTCGTATTCCTCCACAGATGAACATTTTTGATGAACAGTCACATTGACTTGTCCAGTGTTTGTTAGTTTTGTCTTGATGCTTTTCATTCTGTTCTCTCTCCTCTATCCACTCACCTCAACCAGTCATAGCAGAAGGCTGCCCACCCAGATCCGGGATCTGTTGGAGGTTTCTTCTGTTAAAAGGAGTTTTTCCTTCCCAGTGTGACCCAGTGCTGCTCAAGGGGGATTTGTTGGCTTTTCGTTATAATAATATAAGGTTTAGACCTTACTATATAAAATGTCCTAAGATGATTGTTGATATGCAAATAAAATTGAACTATATTGACATTTTTAAAAATTTTATTTACTGTACTAATTTTGACTGCCAATTTGTAACTTTTTACTTTTTATTCTCAAGTCTAAAGAGTTAGTTGCTGTTATCATGTTTTTAAGTTCATGCATCAATGTGAAAATGATGACACATTCTACATGCTTTACAACACTTTGTTTTTTTTCTCTCATCTCATCAGTGACCTGTTCCCTGTGTCCCTTTGTTCCTCCAGAGCTGCCTCAGCAAGATGTCTGTAAGGAGGAGGAGGTTCTGGCTGACCATCAGCTCTGTGACCAGGAGAGGAACTCCAGTCTGGACCAAGAGGACCCAGAGCCTCCAGAGATTAAAGAGGAACAGGAGGAACTCTGTAGCATTCAGGAGGGAGAGCAGCTTGGACTGAGGCAGGAGACCAATCCCTTGACTCCTACTTATGAAGACAGTGACCACAGTGAACCAGAACCAGACAGTGACCAGCAGCTCCTCTCTCACAGCTCTCCTGTAGCTGAGAGCCAGGATCACAAAGGAAACCAGCATGTAGACTCAGGATCAACCAGTCACAGTAGCAATGTGGACAACTCTCCCATGTCACAGACTGTCTCTGATCCTACCACAGGTAACAAGTCCTTCAAATGTGGCACTTGTGGGAAAGATTTTAAGTGTAAGTCAAAATTGAACCGACATTTGAGAATTCACACAGGTGAGAAGCCGTATGTTTGCAAAACATGTGGGAGGAGTTTCACTCGTTATGATGCTTTGTTGGCACATATGAGAATCCACACAGGTGAGAAGCCGTATGTTTGCAGTACCTGTGGGAAAGGATTCAGTCAGAGCTCAGCCTTGACTACTCATTTAAGAGTCCACACAGGTGAAAGGCCATTCCCTTGCAGCACTTGTGGGAAAAGGTTCACGCACAGCAGCAGCTTGCGGATCCACATGAAGGTCCAAAGAGGTGAGAAGTAGGGTAGCAACAGTGTGAGATTTTCCCAGTATATTAACTGTCTTCGAAAATGTCATGGCTTCACTGTATCATGGTATAACATACTGCACTATTACTATTATCAAAGTATTTAAAACACAAGTTTTTTTTTTTATTTTCTTATTGCAAACCGGGTCCGAAATTAACACTCACCAGGTGCCAGAAGCAGGTAGATTTTCATTTTACCTGTTGGGAACACCATGACAGCCCTGCACAGGTGAAACGGGTGGAAATATTGCCAAGCCATTGCAGAAAGTGGTTTTTCATGTAGTCCTGGTTTCATGTCAGATACTGGTTGGAATTGTGTTCTTATCGGGTTTATAATGACTTACACAGATTATACAGTACTAAGACGCTCACATTCATTTCATGATGCTGAGTCCAAATTTGACCATTCTGGGGCTGTTGTTATGAAAGGCCTCGGATGATTTTCAGCTGTGAGCTTGTGAGGTGAGGTGTGACTCGTGTGAAGGGTAACTTTTATACTTTGTTGTGATTATGAGTCTGCAGATGTTTGATATGGCCGTGCCTTGAATTTATTAAAGCTGCACTGGGATATGTGTTCAGAATCCTAATGCAGAATATTGGTTCCCAGGCAGAATAAGAGGAGCTCAAAGAAAACTAAGTAAAGAACTGTCGTGATCAGAAGGTTGGTAGTTGAGAGCCAGTCCCAGGTAAACCTAGTGGAATATGTAGACAGTACTGGAAAGAGAAGTACTATACAGATCAAAATCTGAGCATGACTATTAGTGAAACATACAAAGAAGTCTTTCTAATGTTTTGGTTAGCCATGCTGCTAGCATGAACTTCTTCTTTCGGCTGTTCCCATTCGGGGTCGCCACAGCGAATCATCAGTTTCCACCTAACTCTCTTTTCGACATCCTCTACTCTAACACCTATTAACTTCATGTCCTCTTTTAGCACATCCATATATCTCCTCTTTGGCCTTCCTCTTGACCTCTTGCCTGGCAGCTCCATCTCCAACATCCTTCTACCAATATAACCACTATCCCTCCTCTGCACATGTCTAAACCATCTCAATCTGGCCTCTCTGACCTTGTCCCCTAAACAGCCGACCTTAGCTGTCCCTATGATGTGCT